AATCCCACCTTCACTATATCCCACCGTCACTAAGTTATCTACTGCTGATGAATCCCACCTTCACTAAGTTATCTACTGCAGATGAATCCCACCTTCACCAAGTTATCTACTGCAAATGAATCCCACCTTCACTAAGTTATTTCTTTGGGAATCACCTTGACTGGTCCTCAGTCAAACTGAGTTATCCTTGGCATTTGTTATCTATTCAACTCCTGATGTCATAATGTCTTTTTAACAAGCTGCTAATAACCAACAATTACATTGTTCCTGATTAGTGCTGAGTTCTAGTTTATGAAATGTAAGAGTCTAACAGCAAAACAGTACAGTATACAGAGCTAGGACTGATAAGGTTTCACCCTACCATTTTAACCATTCGGGTGGAAGTATTCAAACTATGTGTGAAGAAGCCCAGCTGAGGTTTTTATTAAGAAGACCAAATCAGCTGTCAAGCACAGCGGTGGCAGCATTATGGTGAGGCAATATATTAGAGGGCCAAAATGAATATTACCTCTATCCTGATGATTGGTTTATGTAAAGCTAGGTTTACACAAGTGAGTATGGGTTCTGCTGTGAGAAAGAAATGAAAAAATAACCTAATCTGATGAGCTGGGAGACAGCCCGCCGGGTTGCTTTAGGTCCACCCCGAAGTGAGCGATCTGGAGACAGCTCAAACACCAAGACCTCCGTCAGCTGCCGCACACGCTCATCCACCTTCCCCCTGAGTTCCTTCACCCTGGGCGTCACCGGCTGGTCCTTCAGATACTCGCTGAGTTTATCCAAGAGATCCACGGCTCCCTCGAAGTCCCTCTGGGCAATGCACACGTCCAGATCCTCTGGCAGCTCCTGAATCCACTCGAGGCTGAGATCTACGCTGTCCTCTGAGTCTGCTGGCTCATCTTCCTCCATGTCGAAAGGATTGGTGGAAACCTCAGACCGGACAGGAGACATAGGAGCCTCCTCCACCTTCTTCTCCTTGGAGGCTTTGTTTTTCTTAGTCTCATCCAGGATCTCCAGCCACTCCTTCTTGACCTTGCTGTTCTCTGCCTGGAAGATGCGACTTTCAGGAAACATGAGGATCTTGAACATATCCTTCATGGGGGGGTTGTCCTTCACGTTGACCACAGCAAAGCTCTCCAGATCATACAGGGCGTTGTACTTGTACTTCACCGTGCCTCTGCGGTTGGGCAACCAGTTGGCAATCAGCAGACAGTCGTTCATGAGGAAAGCATGTACCTTTTGGATGAGCGACATGTTGTCCACATCATACTCTGCAAGGTCCCCATTGTAGACCAGGTGTCTCCCTGGGATGTCCATGATGTTTTTAGCTCCCTCTACCTTCTCAAGCAGGGAGGTGAGGGTCCTCTGCTTCAGCTCCTCTGTCTCCTTAGGGAAAGCTGCCTGCATCTCCTTAGAGGTCTCATCTTTATCCGTGGAGAGCAGGGACTGGGTGATGCTCTCCATGATGCTCTTCTGCTCGGTCAGGATGTGGCTCAACTGATACATCTCGCTCTCCAGATAGGAGATCTCCTTGGCCGTCTCGATGAACTGCCTGTAGTTCTTGTACACATTCTTCTTGAGGTTCTGGGCCGTCTCGTCTGCCAGGGTCTGGATTTTCTGGCGATGCTCCTGCAGGTCTCTGTCACCGTCGGACTGCTGGGACAACTGTTTCACGTAGGACTGTGGGTCGAAATTAGGCGATTCGAGAAGTTTCCGAAGTCGGTTCCCGGTTTCAGACATCTTTAATTCTTCGTTTCTTCACTTATTAAATAGAATTTGTATAAATAAGACAGAAACGAATGAGAACAGCGGAGAAAAACAATTCCACATCCGCCTGTACACAAACGGGAAGCTGTACGAGCGTTGACTTCCGGGTTGTGAGAGTCACGGGATCTCTATGATTGGCGCGTCAATGGCGCCGCCATATTGGAAAGGTACATTCAAGTTCACACATATCAACAAAGTAAAGTAAACTAAATTTGTATTCATGTAACTTGTTTCGTTAAGCACGTTTATTGAAGTGTTGTACATAAACTAAAGCCTCTTACATTTTGATAATTGTATTTTGTAAAATAGATGAGTTATATTTAAATGTTATAAGGTAAAGAAAGATTTTAAATTTGCTTAAAGTTAGATAATGAGATGGTTGATTTTTTCAGAATCAGAATCAGTTTTATTGCCATTGTTAGTGAAGGAGTTCACAAACTAGGAATTTTTT